TGTCAGGGATATAGGTCGTTCGATATGCCTACAGTTCAGTGAAGCTTGTATCGCAAACATTATATTTATACAGGATGTAACAATGATGTCGCGACAAAAATAATTAGAACGCGATTCCTGAGGGATCTAGGGTATTTCAAAGAGAGGATGTGAAACTGTTTTTATTCAATTATAATACACCAATAAGAAATAGTCTTTCCGAAGTCAGTTGAACATGCAAAAAAACGTCTGGTATTAAAATTTAGAGTTCCTAAAAAAATTTTCTGCTAAAGGTACAAAATTATAATAATTTGTATATAATGCGTAGAAAAATTTCTATTTAAGTAAACAAAATATCCCTGTTATTTCTCCCTTTCGCAATTGTAATATGAATGATTGATAGAAGGTGCCTATAATAAATTAAAATTACCTGAATCACACCAAATTCCGCATTGCTGCACTGCACTGCTGGGCAATTTATCAACCACTTGTCATCTGCTGTGATTTATTGCTCAGTAGCCCAATGCAACTGTGATCGTTTTCTCTTGCCCGCGCTCGCATTCTTCAACTGAGCGTATACATTTCTATCGCCTCCACGTTTAGTTCGACCAGACCTGTATATGAATATGGCTAAATAAATATGGGAACAAGTTTTCCAAATATTTCAATGCCGAGTTGCTGTGTCAGCGACCGAACCTGGTACATACCATCAATCTATTGGTTCTTCAATTGATATCGGAAAAACTATACCTACAAACTTTAAAATTCAGATGTAATTTAGAAATAAGGTAGTTTTTTACTGAAATTCTGTATAAAATGTTCATAAGTCAGTATATAACGTAATTCATTTTTTTGTTTGAATTCTTTAAAATAATATTAAAATGATGGAATGATGGATTTTTTAACTGATTGATATAGAATTAGAAAGTTTCATTGCCTTTGTTAGGCAATTCTGTGATATCTTACATTGCTAAATTGGCAGTGGCATCTACGGCCAATAATGACGGTTAGTAGGTTAAGTGTAAATCACTGGGTGGGTCCTGTCGAGTAGGTACAGTTGAGTAAAAACCGTAAAATTTTCTAAACAAATAAGGAAAATATAAGGTTAATAGTTTAAAATAATAAATTTTTTTTAAATCGTTTTGAAATTCGGTCCAATTTCAGACCCATCAGCAAACAGTACTTTCATATAAATACTCGCTGGCAAACCAACCCACATCAAAAATGCATTAATTAGTAAATGTAACATTTTATATGTTTATAGTTATAGTTATGTTGCAGTTTGTACAACAGTTAAACATTTTCCATGCAAACATTGGTTAAACATTAGCCAAACTAGGTATACTCGAAAAGTGGTCGACATTATTGCTGTTAATTATTTATATTAGCAAATTTTTCTTTATCTCTCCTCGCTCTGATCTGCCATATCTGTTTAACTACCGTAAGTTTCATCAAAATCGGTTATAAATAAGGATAGTTCTCTAACTACCCTTAACAGAAATTTTTCAAAATTTTTTTTTAATCTTGAATTATCAAGCAAATATTATTTTTTAATGAACTAGACTTTTTTTAAGAAAAAGTGTCTACTTTTCTTTCGAATTCTGCGTAATTCAGTCTGAAATAATTATTTTTTAAATAATGCATGGCCAGAACAGTAACTTTTTTTTAACATTTTCACATAATAGACATATTTCATGGTGACAGTTTCGTTGTAATGATACTAATGATTGCCACTTTCGCGTGCTGTTATTTAAATTCTTACGTTTCTTTATCTTCTTAGTTGTGATTTTTGTGTTTGACTTTGCATTTCATTAGATTTTTTTACAACCATGAACCACGTTTGTAAGCGAATTCGTACTTTTCCCTAGATTTGTTTGCTAATAAATTTAAGGTTACGTCTTTTGCAACTGCTACTAATTCTGATGGTGTGGTGTCCCGAACACGGACATCATCGAACAACTATCATTTTAAATATTTTTAAATATGTTTTAGCAGTTATAGGTATTAAAGCGAATTTGCCTTTTATCACAACAAAAAATAAACAATGATTGTCAAGGAAACGATTTCCTAAGGAATTAGATTGTAATGAAGAAATGTTAGATATGCATTAATAAAAATTCCTTTGTTCGTATTAATTAATTGTTTGCGATTTCAGGAAGAATAGTATGTGTACCTCGTAGTAAAAGCATACATTCCCGGATTCAATGCTTGTTGTTGTGGTCCAGGAATATACTATTCCAGTACTGAATATTTTTCTTGCAGATTAAAAAAAAATGTCCTGACGACTACTGTAATATCCGCAACATTTAGTAAATAGCGGTTTTAAAACTTTCACGGCTAGTTCTAACATTTAAAGCACCGTGTTTTTTTTGGGTTGTTATGCTGTGGCCTATGTATCTGGTTGCCGCAAGTTACGTACTTACCTACATTAAACTTCCATAGCCGTAGACCTGCCCTTGTGGTTCTTGGTCTAGGATCTGTGGGGGCGGACCCGCTATCAGAACCGCTAAAAGAACAACAATAGTACGTCAAAAATCAAATAGATAAGGCCAAGGAAGAGCAATGTAAGACTACAACTGGCGGCGACCAGGCATATACCTAGGCCCCGGCATAACAACCGGAAGAATCATGGAACTTTAAATGATAATACATTGTTTTTGTGCATAAATTTGTCTGACGAGTCTCGCAAAATTTATAATAATTAGTTGTGTAATATTTGAAATGCATACTAATTCTTGCAAGCGTTGTTATGTGCTGTACGCAGTAATCTTGTTATTTGAAAAACTGTCGCATTTTGTCGACGCGAAAATTGAATATTAAATTTCGCATATATTAGCGCTATCGCCTGTCATATCAATACAGTTCGAGCTGCTCTGTCCAACGGCCTTTTCAGGAAAACCATATGCGGTTATATTATTATACAAAAACATCGGCTTGTCAGCAACACTCACATCATCTAACGGAAATCGTTATGCTGGCGGAATCTATAATTTGATTGATTGTTGTTCATCAAACGTATCTATATTTCTAGATACAATCTTGTTTAGGTGCATAAACATTAAATAAGAGAAAGTAAATCAGGACAGTCGATATTTTGTGTGAAATTTTGTATAAAATACAAATTCTTCTAACTTCTAAGCTAGTAACAGTAAATTGAACAATTAAAAGACATAATTTATACCTCTTCCGGGATAAGCTCTAACTTTCTTAAATTCTGAATATTGGAAAAAAAGGTCTCTAAATATGTTCAATAAGTAACTTTTGATTGTTGTAAAAAGAAAATCAGATCTACATTGCATATTCCAGTATTACACGTACCTTTATGACATGTATCTATTACAAATAACCATTTTTTGAGTGTCAGTTTTATTCACGCTCATGTTCACCACTTTTGATTTTTTTTTTATGTAAATGTTTGGTTTACCTTGTCGCAGGTCGATTTTATCTCTCAAATACACGCAACAAATCTGCCATAAACCCGTTCCCTTCAATATGACGCCGAACTCGAGGTAGACATCCGTCGCGTTAAACCGCTCGATTTATTTGAGCGCTACATCTTCCCTTCTGTTCACGGGGATGTTTTTCAGGGTCCGAACAAACGACTTAATTCCCCATCCGTCACAGTCCCGCGGGCAACCGCAACTTCCGCTTAATTGCCTTGGTCTGGCTTTCCTCTTACCTACGGGAGCGGAAAACTGCGGATGAAATAATTGTTTCCGTTGTATTACAGGTTGTTAAACCGGATTAGAAAAGATGAAAGACTGTTCTTAATATCAACTATGTTTGTACAGGATCTTTGTTGGAAAATTGTTTTTATTTACCCAAGCATCGTCAGTTCAATTTTATACAACGTGTGTTATAAATTCTATCAGTGAATTGAGAGAAGAGGCGTCATAGAATGGCCTGCACGATCGCCGGATTTGTTTCCTTTGGAATTTTTCTTGTGGGATCAGCGCTGCGAGCCAAGTAGTCTTTGTTGCATATTTCTCTCCATTCCGTTTTACATATTTCTTGTTCTTCTCCAATCCCTTACACCCATTTCTTTTACATTTCTCTCCACCTTTTAATGTCATTTGGTCCGGGGTTGCCCACTTTTCTTTCCATTTACTACTCTCTCTATATCTAACTAATTTTGTTGCCTTCTTATCCGATAATCTTGCCATATGCCCCAACAACCTTATTCTTTGTACTCTTATTGCATTAGTTATGGGTAATTCTCTATACATTTCCATCAGTTAATCGTTTGTCCTTCTTTGCCACATTTTACCTTCTCCTCTCCATATATTCTCCTCAGTACTTTGTTCATTTCTCTTTTGGATTGACCAAGTCTCATACCAATAAATATCAAGAGATGTTATTATCGTCCTATAAATCTTTTTTACATTTCTCGAGATATTTTTCGACTGGATTACATTTAGCAGTCCTCAAACATGTATTTCCTTTTCCTGTTCTCTCTTGTATTTATCCTTTTCTTCACCATTATCAGTTACTGTGACTCCTATGTACTTACATTTATCTACTCTTTCAAAGTAATATTGCTTTCCTTCTGTTGCTAGCCTGGTCCCTTTGATTTGCCTGATTTCTGGTATTTTGTCTATTATCATATATTTTGTTTTATTTCATTTATTACTAACCTTTTGTTCCAAGCTGATTTTTCTACCTTTTTAATTGCACTTAGTAAATTATCTTCTGTCCTCGTCAAAATCACAATATCATCAACATTCTCTAACTTATACCTGCAATCCTCTCGCGTCGAATAAATTTCCATGTAGAATTTTAAATAGAAACACATCGTGATAAAACAGGATTTAATAAATGTTTTCACAGAATGTACTATTTTCTACTACAAGCAGAGGTAGATATAATTATAGATTTCAACATTATTAAATTTTCCTGCAATAAGCTATACATTTTTGTGTGGAATTATACGAAAATACTTTTTATAGGTACAGTTACTTTGCACAAATCGGAAGACCACGATAATATACTAATTTTTAACAAGCATTATTTTCCGTGTATAGACCGAATTCAGTAAAACTTAACAGCCTCCCTATTGATTTATACAGAAGTAAAAAAACACCCAACACGAACGCCTAAATAATTCGAGCACGAACGAAGCCCCCACCTCGCAAAGTGCACCAGGAAAACCGCCAGCCTTCCCGTCCGGACGCCACCTAGGCAATACCCACCAGAAGGAGCCTCAAAAATAACCCCGCCGAGATGCGGGAAGTCTGCAAAGGCAGCGCTGTGGTCGCGGCGGTCGTCGCCGTCCTCGAGAAGCAGCAGACTCTGAACGGCACCAGGCACTTCGGCTCGTCCAAAAGGGAGCCCAGCATGCCCGAGAGCGACGGTTCCCCTTCTAAAAATAGCCGCTACCAGGACGACCAGCTCAGCTTCGAGTCCGCCGTGAAGGATTTCGATTCCGTGGCGGAGGACGTGCAGAAGATCTGCGCCACGGACTCGCTGAAGAGGACCCGCAACGTCGAAACGGACGGTCGGTGCCAGAACGGCGCGTTCGCGACGGGCGACGAGGAAGGGTCTAGTGATGACTCGGATAGCGACGAGAGCAGTGATAGTGAGTCGGATAGTGACGAGGAGAGGGAGCATGTGATCAGTGAGGGACTGGCGACCATTGCCGAGGAGCTTAGCAGCGCCCACTCATACCAAGGTACCGCACCACTTTATTTTTTGTACTAATTTTAAGATGTAAGGACGTCTTGTAACTAATTATTTATATTTATTTATAATCTAGTTATTGCCACCTGTGGAAAAATTTGAAAATCGATAAAATAAGCCCTTGCTCTAAAAGGATGTCATAGGTTTTGCCTAAATAAAAATGTCACACCGAAAAATCAGACAGGTAAATAATACACTTCAATATATACCACGTACTTTAATAAGTTATTAATTTTCGAAAATCAGCAAGGTTGCCAGCTCTAGGGAAATTTCCATATTCTAGGGAAATTTGCAAACCTCTAGGGAAAATGGGTAAACCGTGCGAAATCTAGGGAAATTTCCGATGCTTTGATTAAATATGAAAAAGAGTTTCATATGGCAAATTTAACAAAACTAAAATAGTTATTTTTATGTTTTTTGTTATTTTGTGTACATAATTTGTATTTATTAGTTTTCAGGATGTTTATTTATGTGTAATGTTTAATTTCAATTTTTATAACAAATTCATATAGATACTGACACAAAGTGCAATTAAATTTTCTATTATGTATAGATTTAATACGTTTTTATTTATTTTTTTGGTGATTTCAATGTTGTTTGCACATCCACATATTAAATTGTTAAAAACGTAACAGTTACCATGTGATGTTTATCTATTATTACTTACTTCATCTTTGAATATTTGTAGCTGTGGAAACTGAGAAACAAATATATTTATAAGCTAAAAACTAATTAAAAACCAAATGTAATTCTACTTCATACAAGACGACGTTGCATATAAACACAGATGTTTTCTATGTTATTAATGATCTCTATCATGTTAAAATTAACAAAAAATGTGATTTTTTTTTCTATAGACATAAGAGTGGTGGCATGAAAGTCGTAAGAATACAAATTGTATAAAAGACGTTAAGATTCTTATTAGTATTGTTGTAAACACAACTGAAAATTAAGTAGCATGGTGTGGAAAATGAAGGAGATAAAATTTATAGGTTATGTAATTAGAATACGAACACAATTTTATAAATCCTAGAAAGGAATGTGTATCACAATCACAGTTAATTTTCAGTAAATGTACTGAAAAGTTATACATTTTGCAACGTTGCATAGTTTAACTCAATGACGCTAGTACATTCTTATTTTAAAAATAGTATGGTTTACCTTTAAGCAATGGTGGTGTGAATTAAATGTTATTTAATTTTGAAAATTGAAACCTGACTAACAAATTCTAAAGGCGTGTAATTGTTACTTGATAATTATTTTTTTTATTGCCATTCATCTACACGAAGAGAATAATTTAGACTTTGTTAAATGTATTTTTAGCTCTACAAACAGTGAAGCATAAAAATAGATTTCACGTGTCTGTGTAAAACATAAACAAATGTTCACATGACTATGGACGTTGAGCTTAAACAGTTTATTTTTTCAAAAATATTTAAACTTTATAGGATATTCGTCAAAAACGAAGCAGTTTGTGTCATGTTATATTGTTTTTCTTGGTACAATCATCTCATATTTTGTGCCAATAAATATATCACAGAAATTAAGTTTCTATTTATTTTGTTAATATTACATCTATTTTGTCAAAACGTTAGTGTAAAAAAAAACTATAAAATCATGCTCCTCATCCTTTCTAAAAATAACAAGTGACATAATTTTTTCCACCTAGGTACATGTTTTAAATTTAACGTTTCCTAACAATAATTGTAGCAAATTCCATCCACAAGGTTACTTAAAACAGGCTGGGGACTGTTTGTTGAACGCACTTTTTTCTTACTGTCAAGGTGTCGAAAATGTATTCGTTCTTTGACTAGTTCACAGCAATAAAGTTCTAGATATATGTTTCGAGTGAATGTTACCAGTTACTATAAATATTTTAGAAAATGCCTGAGGGAATTCGTAGGTAAATAATATATGTATTTTATTACAAATAAATCTATTATGTTTCAGAGTTTTAAGGTTGACAAATTGTTCCAAAAACATATTTACTAAGCGCTCGACTTCCAGGGCGATAATTTGAAAAAATCTGTGACGTACTATTTTTTTCTCAGTAGAACTTACTGTTACGTGAAATAAAAATTTGTTTCATAAGTCAGAAATAAAGCTTTCTAGGGAGAACTATAATAGTGTACCAAATTTAAATGAATTATTTTTTCCGATGCCTGTTATGTTGTACGATATCAATAAATTAAAACGCTGGTAAGCTTAAATTTGACCTTGACCTAAGTTTCTAGGTCAAACCAAGATCAAGTTGAAAATATTAAATGAATACCCTATTTTTTACGCCAACAATCGGTAGAGCACCAAATTTTACATCCGAATATGGGGACATAAAATTTTTCGAATAGATAAAAATTCTATAAGTCAACCGCTTAGGACATTTATGTTCATAGGGATTTTTTTCTGAGAATTAATTGAGAAATCACTTTATCATCGAAACTTAAAGATGACCTTCGACGTCTTGTCCACTTTTAGTTCTACCATCTCTAGTACGCACACGGAATTCTGTTCAAAAATTGAAAATCAGTACCGCAGTGATTCAATACAGCTTCCATTTTGCAGATTCATCACATAAATCAACTCCACATAGATTTATTTATGTACTTCGTGCGTTATAGCGATTTCATGTTAGTTTTAAGAACAACCGAACATCTAATCCGAAACTGAAAAAATATTTTTGGGTTTGGTTTATTTTTATTTACATCGATTTACGTACGATTGATGGCCCAATTTTAGGACACGTGTCAAGCATCTGTTCTCTTGAGATGGTCTATCAGTGTACCCTAACATGTGCTTAGGTGTCTAGATACTTCAAAAAACGAAAAGGAAGGCGGTTTTCAACATGGCGAAATAATTTATGTAAGCACTATTTATATACCTATACACTAAGAAAACACTAGTTAAAATATGGCCAATTCGTTTCAATAAATGCAAATTCAATCACTGTACATAATTATATTTTATCTGTAATATAAATTTTGTTAATATTCTGGTTTAAAGATAAATCTAGAGTTTATTTCAGACGAATTTGTTTAATTCAATGTTACTACTTTCAAATGCTAGCATTAAACTTACAAAAATTACATAATCGAAACGTCAATCATTTTACAATGTTGCTTGGATTCTATTCGCTTTAATTGCGTAATTTCTTGTTATTCTAATTGTGCTATATTCGGTTTAAAATGTAATCAATGTTTGTAAATACAGTGGAATATGGAACGGAAACGGAATTAGCGTAGGTAATGCCTGATAATAACGTATTATTGAAAGTGGTTTGCGCAGAAGTTTCATGGAATTGCATTTCGTTGTTAATTAGACCAACATAATAGGTATTAAACAAATATTGAATCAGTCTAAATGTAATCGGTAAATGTAATACTCAAATCACCTCTGAAAGACTAGTGAGTGGTATTTGATGTTCATTTTTTTGCTGATACGTTTCGTATAACATTTCAGTGTCAGATCAGATAAAAATCAACTTTTGCTTTAATGTAACAATTAGTTTTATATATATTTTATCTCTTATTCGGAATTTGTACTTTCCCACTGACAATTTATACTTTTTCTTGCACAATTATGAATCTTTGTATTAAAATATAAAATTTTTTTACAGGAATATAAAACTTCCAGATGTGCGCATTCTTAGGGCCCATGTCATAAAATATTTTTGAATTTCATTTGTTTTTCACTGAATTATACCAATGGTCGTCTAAATCGAGACGCCTTATAGAATCGACAGTGACCACAAACGTGAAGAAAAAGATCATTTATATGCATGAGTAGATTGATTCAAATCTTTATGTAACTTTGCACTCCTAACCTAATGCCTATATTGGTAAAGATTCTGCCTTGGCCACTAATATACTTATATCCAATAAAAATTGCATCGGTTCGATGTTTGTCCCAAGGCTCTCACTTGAGGCCACGAATCATTAATATCTTTCTGAATGATATTTACACATGCTTCTGTTATTGTGAACGATTGTTTACAGGCGATTTGGTATTATTCTGGATTATGACTGTCACTTCCAATTTTAATAAAATTTTGAATTACATCAATAAACTATCTAGTTGGTTTGACAGATATAGTATGTATCTTGATCCTTCCAAGTATCATACAATATCTACCATTGTATTCTGTATTCTGTATTCTGTATTCTTTGAGGATTACAATGAGGCGTCCTTAGTGCTGATTCTATTGAAGTACCTTAGTTTTCTTTGGTACGTTTTCATCTATATGCTTCCTTTGTTGATCTAAAATTAACATTTTAAGATGCATGCATTTAAAATTAATTTTCAGCATAATGTCTCAACGATTTGTTGGACTCTTTTCATATGTTGTCACTTTCTGCGTAGAACACATACATTTGTAATGCTTTATGCTCATTAATGGCCACCAATCTAATCACTTTGTTAATTTCTATATCTACTTTTGAAAGTCAGTTGTCTTTATGTGATTTTTTATTATATTCTAATGTTTATTTTTATTGTATTCTGTTCCTCTAAGTATAATTTCATTTTATTGCACCTACTTGGTCTTTGCTTATGGATGGTATTTGCTTATGGATCCACTCTAACATTGAACAAAAAAAGTGGTATAAAATAAATGAATGCAGATTGTTTTGGCCACCCGACAGACTTATTCTTTCAGTTGTAGAGGCGCCACACCACTTCTGATCCAAATTAGCAACAATTCGGAAGCCTTCTTCTCCAGAAATAGCACTTCATATCTCTAAAACGACCATTTGCTCTTTTCTTCTCCCTTTCGACCTCCATATATCAGCCACCGTCATCCGCTAATTGGTTTTGGTACCACTGGTCCCTCGCCGCGTGCATTTGGCCAGCGTCCAACAATACACAGATCCAAAATAGCACCCAAGCCTACTACGATACGCTGGGTCTGGCATCTGAGAGGAATGCTTTCGGTTGTTATCACACGAAATTACTACTTGTAAACCGCTGCGTACTTGATCAAGCATGAATGGCGGTGCG